GAATACAAACAAAAGCAAAAGGTGAAAGAGACTAAACAAGCAAAAGCTAAACTGGGAAAACGTTAAAAAAACCAAAGAAATTAAAGAGCTGAGACGTGGGAATTGGAACATCAAAACCTGAGAAATGCAGTTTGTGATAAACAGGAGAAACGCAGCCGAATCGACAGGGAACAAAGGGAAACACACACAGTACATACAGTGGGTAACGAGGGAATACATAACAGGGAGGCACAGCTGAACCTAATCTGATGAGAGAAGACAGGGAGGAAAAATACAGAATAGACTGACGCAGCACATGGGACTGTCGAAGCAAAACAGGAATACATGAACATAGAAACCAGGAGTACTAGACGTAACACAAGGAACACAAGAGAGGCACAGTGACAAAATGAAAGGGCTAGAATAATAACTGAAGTACCAAAGAATAACAAAGGGAACTAGAAATACAAAAGTCAAAACCATGAAAAACCACTAAATAACGGAGTCACCATGTCAGGTTAAGGCTGTGTGCAGGTAGGAGTGGAAGTAGAAAGACCCAAAGTGCAGACACTCGGAGGCAGAAAGTGGCTCAAAACTCAGCTTTTATTGCTGGATGGCAAAAAGTAACAGAAATCTGAAATACAAATAAACTTACATGACCAGGCAAACGGACCACACAGCATAAATGAGAGTAGATCACAACACAGACACAAAGAAACACGGGGCTTAAATACACAGAGGGAGCAATCAGGGATTGGGTAACAGGAGGGAAACACAGCTGGGGCAAATCTAGCCTAACGAGACAAGGGGAAGCAAAACCAGACACATTAACATCAGACATGGACTTTCAAAGTAAAACAGGAAACATAACACAGACTCACAGGCAGGCACTATAACAAAGGGAACAAAGACGTGGGACCAGGGCAGACACAGACACTGACTGGATGTGGGGATACAGCAGACAGGGGAGACAGCAACTATGGAACACAGACAGAAAACCAGAACACTAAAACTCTAACCAAACCCCACCAAGAGAACCTAAACTAAGAATGATCCTAAACCCATAAAGCAAAGCTAGAATATAATGAAATAACAAAATCAAAGAACCAAAGAACACAAAACACTGGGTCAACGACCCAGGGACCCTAACAGTACTCCCCCCTTAAGGGCTGGCTTCAAGACAGCCCAAACCAGAACACCAAAAACAACCCAACCAGGGTGGGCGGTGGGGGAAAACAGGACGGAGGGCACGAAACAAATGATACACACCGAGCCAGAAACCAAAACACAGGGAACAAAGTCCAAAACAACAGCACTAAAGGCCCAGGAACAGTCCAAAAGCAAACAAACAAAAGAGCCCATGAAAGGCGCAGAGTCTCAAAAAAGTTCAGGGGGGCGGCCCGGAGGCTGATGGCACAACAGTCCAAACCCGGGCAGGTCAGGGGGGCGGCCCGGAGGCTGACGGTCCAAGAGCCCAGAAAACAGTTCAGGAGGCACCGGCGGCGGCGTAGTTCAGGGGGCCGGCCATGATGGCAACGACGTCCAGTCATCTGCCGGACGGGACGTGCAGGCCCAGACAGCATGGGGACCTCAGGAGCAGACGAAGCTGAACACTCGGAGGCTGGACCCGGTGGAGCTGCAGAGGCCGAGGCTGGACCCGGTGGTGGCTGAATGGCCTCGCCAGAACCATCAGCAGACACTGGGATGTGCTGGCTGGGTCCTCCCGGACCCCCAGCGGACGAGACAGGTGGCTGAACGGGCCCCTTGGATCCTCCAGCGGACGAGACAGGTGGCTGAACGGGCCCCTTGGATCCTCCAGCGGGAACAGACGGCTGAAGCAATTCCTCGGCCCCTCCAACGGGAACAGACGGCTGAAGCGGTTCCTCGGATCCTCCAGCGGGAACAGACGGCTGAAGCAGTTCTCCAGAACCCCCAGCAGGAACAACAGGTGGCAGAACAGAAGATTGAGGAGAGGAGTGACCGTGGCGTCGTTTCCTTCTGAATGAGGGAACTGAAACTGGCGGAGAAACAGAGACCTCCTCCTCATCCTCCGACCACATGGCCGCCAGGAAAAAGGAAGGCGAATGGGCAGGCGAACAAGGTCCCGGCTGGTGTGAGGAAGGAGAGGCAGTCTGAGGTAGCGACGAGGCAGGTGGTGAGTGTGCGTTGTCCTGGGGCGGCGGTAAAGAAGTGGAGGTGGAGGTAGAGAGAGCAAGCTCGCCAGCCCTGACTTGCTCCCTCCAGGCAGCTATGGAGCTGCCCAGCACAGTGTCCATAGAAAGCTGAGTAAGCAGAGGGTTGCTCCGAATGATGGCATCTACCGCGCTTAGCCCAACTGCCATGGTCCTCAAATCATTGGCCTGAGCAATGCGGTCAAGGAGCTTAATCATCCGCTCCATCTCAGCGTTGAATCCAAAAGCTGAAGAGTCTGCGGGGTCCATGTTCTGGTCGTGATCTTCTGTCAGGTTAAGGCTGTGTGCAGGTAGGAGTGGAAGTAGAAAGACCCAAAGTGCAGACACTCGGAGGCAGAATGTGGCTCAAAACTCAGCTTTTATTGCTGGATGGCAAAAAGTAACAGAAATCTGAAATACAAAAATCCAAATAAACTTACATGACCAGGCAACCGGACCACACAGCATAAATGAGAGTAGATCACAACACAGACACAAAGAAACACGGGGCTTAAATACACAGAGGGAGCAATCAGGGATTGGGTAACAGGAGGGAAACACAGCTGGGGCAAATCTAGCCTAACGAGACAAGGGGAAGCAAAACCAGACACATTAACAACAACAAAAACAACAAAATGAGTTTACTGTTTATTTTATTCAAGATTTGTTCATGTTTCTCATTTCCATCTAGTTGATTAAATGACTTAGATTCAGTCATTTATTTGTTTGTTCTTTTTCTAAACTGAAGATAAACCAAAGGCGAAACTGAGAACTGATAACACAACTGTTCCAGTAGGGGGCAGTGTGACCCTGACCTGCTCTGTGAACCCATCATCATCATCTGGATGGAAATACTACTGGTACAGAGATGAGAAATCCTCTGAAGCCCTGACCACACAAGATGCAGTTTTCCACTCAAATGGACAAATCAGTGTCTCACAGGAAGGACTCTACAGGTGCAGAGGAGGAAGAGGAAACCCAGTTTACTACACAGAGGACAGCCAAGAAGTTCAGATTAACATGACTGGTGAGTTAGTATTCAGCAACAATGTTGAATAGATTGTTGATTGAGGATTACTATGAAGAGAAAGAGCATCATATCTCATGGTAACCTCTTTGGCATTGTAATAATGTTCTTATTGGAAATGGTTGAACATGAATAGTCATGTAAAATGTGGAGTCTAGAGAATCAGTGTCAGGAATGTGATCTAAGGAGGGGAGACTAGGTGGGATTATGAATGTGAAACAATCATTTTCAGCAAATCTCCAAATCAACATAAATTCACAATTAGTTCTGTAACAATTCTACAAGTAACACTGCAAGTAGTGTAGAACAGGAGTCACAACATGAAACCACAGAGCAGAGTCATGCTGACAGTTTCTGACAGGAAACAGAAAATCTCAATGTAAACATCAGTTTTTGTTTCTTTATATTAAGATTTGACTGTTTGACATGTTTATATAGTAAAAGTTTGTAAAGCAGATTTAAGGAAGTCAACATTTTGTGTTCATTGTTGGGAGTCAAGTCATTTAAATACAGCAGGAGTTGATTCAAAGTGATTTCTAGTCGAGGGAAATAGATGAACTGGATTTTTTTCAAGATCATTTTTATAAAATGATGTTATGAAATTTAAAATATAATTAAGCTTTATTGTTTGTTGTCACAGTAACTGTGTCAGGAGCTGACAGCTCTTCGTCTCCTGTGTGGTTGATGGTTGGACTGGTTTGTGGAGTCTCTCTCATTATTATTCTCCTGCTCTTGTTGTATCGCTGCAGACAGTCCAAGTGTAAGAGCCTCTTCTTTTCATGCTGTATTAGAGAGTTTATTTACTACACACACTTTAATTATTCATACATATACATGTATTCTGATCTCATGACACAAAATAACAATTCACACCACAAACATGTGTAATAACATTTGTCTCTTTCACAGATTCCTGCTTCACCAGGTTGGTAAAATACTTTTTATTATTATTTTAAACAAAGATCAGTTACTTTTGAGTTTATTGTGTTTATTTCCTGTTTCAGGTGGATCCAGTCTGAGAGTCACAGTCCGGGCTCCTCCACAAATCATGGAGTCAACCAGAATGAAACTCATGAATACAACTCTGTTCATCCTGGTCAGCACTTAAACCGATCTTTATTATCATTGTTAATATTGACTTTTCATTCAGTCTCCATTAACAGGAACATTTCTTAGGTTCAGTTTGTGCTCAGCAGCTTTAAAGAACATTTATCAAAATCCAGCTGGACAAACATCCAAATAACCAACTGACTACATGCACAAAAGATCAGAAACAAACAGGATTTTACAACCTGATTGTATCTTTAACTGGACTGAAAGAATCCACAAATGTTATTGTTTCATATCAGAACAACACAAACAGTAACACCATGATGGGTTCATGCTCTGAAAATATCTGATCACACAGCACCACAGAATTTTTTTTCTGTTTTTGCATTTATTTTTAAATATGCATGTTTCTGGTTTGCTAACTTCTATGAATCAAGTAGGAAACACTGAAAATGATCAAAAACAGTTTTTTCTATATTTTGAAAGGCATGTAAGATCTAACAAAGAAACAGATTTCTGTTTCTTTGTTAGAGGAAACTAAGTGCAACATTTTTACATTCCAGGTGCAGATGAACCCCACGATGTCACATATGCTCTTATCGAATTTAAAAACGTCAGAAAAAACAGTGAGTGTCGAAAACAATATAGATTTTTTTTAAATAAATAATTATTTGAATTTATTTGTTTATTTGTTCAATATGGAAAAGAAAGGCTAGAAAGGGTTTTGCTTCAATATTAATGACTTTATTTTGTTTATTTGCTCATCTTAACAGGGAAGCATCATAAACCAGAGCAGAGTGCTGTTTACTCTGAGGTGAAGACGGGAGCTGCAGGTACAGTCACAACAGTCTCATTCAGTGTTTGTACTTGAACGTGTCATCACATCGTTATATTGCAGGTAATTATAGGTCAACATGGAGTTTAGTTATTCACTGACCAAGCTTAGCTACTACATACGACCACTACACATCAGCAGACTGAATCTTATACACATCGAGGGCCGTTCAGAGTTTAGTGTAAGTTTGTCTGCTTCATATACAGAATGATATTGTTATTGTACAGTATGGTATTGTCCATCTATATGTCCCCAATCTAAACAGTTTCTCTCATGTTTTTACTCTGTAATGTTCTTGTCATCATATCTGTGCTGAACAAATGTGTCCTGAGCTCTGACGTCTCTTTTAGAGGACAGTCTGATGTATGCTGAGGTCAAACAGCCCAAAAAAGAAAAAGCCAAGAAAAACAAAGGTGAGCAAAGTCTGCCATCATCTCCACTGAATATTGTTTAACATGTTTATCTGCTCTTACAATGTAAATCTGTTTATTTTATTATTTATGTATTCACACTTTGTCAGCTATTTAAAATCTACTCTTTTATCTTTGCATTAGTGGAGACATCCAGTTTCCTCCTGGTTAATGACATTATTGTTTTCAATGATCTTCTCTTCATTCACAGGAAAATCAAGTCCTGCAGCTGATGCAGCAGTTTATTCTGAAGTCACATCAGGAAGCTCTCTCAGTAATTCTGCTGCCATGCAGGCTGATTTATTCTTCACATTATTAAATGTCTTCAGCTCATAATATCTTTACATGTTGGAAATCATTTTGTCTCTTTGTGCTTGTCTTACAGGTCAGTGAGGAGAGCTGTAGCAGCAAAGCCAAGAAGAAGCTTTTTATGAAGCCACTCTTGCTCCTCTGCTGCCCAAATATCAGACATGCTCAGCTTTATGTACAGTTGCAATATTAAATCACAATATCAGACATATTGCTCTCTTATAGCATAAATAAATGCAGGTGTATTTCTATTTAATATTCATGCTCTTTATATTCAGTTTTTTATTAAAGATTTTGTAATAAACCTTGAATGTATCTAACATGTTCCAACAGCAGTGAGAACAAAGTGTGAAATATGTGATCTTTAGTATCTGACAGCACAACTTAAAGTCAGTGTTTGCAGTGTTTCACAAGTAAATACTGATATGGGCAACAACAAATACTTTAACTGTGTTTGTCCAAAGATCTCGTACATTATATAAATAAGAATTATATCATAGGCAGTGAATATATTTGAATGTATTTCATGTATATTTTTGTGTTTCTGATCATTTTTTTGCATCTGTAGCTAGAAGATAGAAATAAAATCTTTTGACATTTGAACATTTTATGTTTGATTTTTGTTTCCTGTTTGAGATTATTGATAGACTAACAACACAAGCAGGTTGTAACTGCATTATCATGCAAACCTGAAATAAGCAGATGTGAGTATTATTTGCAAAGCGGTCACTAACAGTTCAGAGCATGACAGCAGTCTGCATGTATCTGACACAGAGGACTGAAGTAGAACATTTACAGAGAGAAGCTCTCTGTGTGCTGCTGTCACAGGATGAAGTCAAAGGAAAAGATAACTTGTAGATGTGATAAATCTCATATGAAAGATGGAGACAGAACATCACAGAGTACTAAAGCTCTGCATCAATCGTGGTCAGCATGACTCAGAGAAGTCGCAGTATTATAATTTTGCACTCCACTCCATTTACATCATTAACTGATCTCACAAGAATTTCAGAAACATCAGACCTAAAACATTCATTTAAGCTTATCATTGTACTTACATTGTACAACAGGCACATTACTGCTCTACTAGCGCAGAGACACCTCCTACTTTCTAGCAAGTGATGAGGAGAAACAAAACAGCATCTAAACACTAGTGATGCCCCACTGGGTGCCAGTGTGGTCACCAACACTCCTCCTATAGATTAGTATTTATTTATACCTGCTCTGTGCTGTGCTGAAGGAAAAGACCTTCCAACACTTCTTTCATTTCAGCTGACTTCACCTGTGTGAAAACAGAGGAACATGCACGGCATTAAATCATACTCATTTGTGTTCCAGCACATGTGGATATTAAGGGAAATAAAATGTCAGACACTTTGGCAAAATAGACACTTAAACAAGACACGGTGGGCGTGGAGATGACACTATAAACTTGAAGTAAAAGCACTAAAATTATTAAATAAATGTCAGTAAAGGTGGGACACAGAGGCAGACAGAAGCAAAGTGGATCAAGTGAAGACAACAGGGAAACAAGAAAGAAAGAAACCTTATTTTATAGATTAAGAAAAAAGGCTTCATTAACTGTGACGTTTATAGGAAAGTGTAGGAGTCTTATTTACCATTTCAGCTGCGTAGGTGATAATAAAACACCTTCATATTGGTTTTCAGGCACTAATGAAGGAGAAGCAGAAGAGGTGAACGGCCCAATATTGTTTTGACATGCAGCTCTTCACAGCTTAATGTTATTGTGTATTTTTATGTAATTTTTCTCAGCAATGATTCAGGTCATTAAAGATTTTTTTTAATGCTGAAAGTGTTTTTATGTGTTTACCCTGAGTGTGTGATTATTGTGCTGCTGTTACAGCCCTCGTTCTGTTTTACTTCGCAGCACAGACATCATGTGTCTGGACACACAGTGTACAGTCAAAATCAACACCCTCAGTTAAAGATGTGAAAACATTTTGAGCTGTTAGGGACCTGTGCAGGTTGCTTTTGACTCATGTTTGTGTCTCTTAATTCATCTTTTGAAAGGTTTTACACATTAGGAATGTTTAATGTTTTTAATTTATTTAAAACTTTTAAAATGCTGAAATAAAACTCCAATAAATTCACACCAGTAAAGTGACTGTTTCATTCAAGCAGCAATACCAAACAATAATACTGTAACACATCATGTCATGGTCCGCGGCCCGGCGTCCGGGGTGCTGCTGGGATGTCCACGCCCACGAGCGTGGCTGCTAACCCCACACCTGCATCCCATCCCAGGCGATCACCAGGTGGACTATTTAATCCTGCCCTACCTGCTGCTCCACGCCAGTCCGTAGTCGCCTCTCAGCGGTAACGTACGCCTGCGGAAAAGAACTCGTATGACAAGACTCTCCATCGGACCTAACACTGTTTTTTTTCCCTGTGTACCCAGATCATAACTCGGCGTGTTTTTTTCGAGCCACCTGCCTGTCCACCTGTCCGCCTGAGATTTGGTTCACATTCAGCTTCGCCGTCTCGACCCCTTTTGGAGCTCCACCCCCCTCTGGTTCACTCGGCCCGGCTATCACCGTGAGACGCACACTCCACCTTCCCTCGTATGCTGCCTTTTTTCCGCACCCCAGTAATCTGTCTCTCTTTTTGTTTTACAGCCTCTCACAGCCCCGCTCTCGGCGTTCCCTGTGCGGTCCCTCGGTTTCGTCTGGTTTCATCCGTTGTTTTTCTGGCTACCCTCACGGGACACCTTTAGTTGCAATAAAAATTACTTTCTTTATTCGCTCCTACCCTAGTGTGTGTGTTCTGCTACTGGGTCCTGCCTGCGCTCGGAACTTCGGTTCATGACACATCAAACTGCAAATGTGACAATACAGATCAACATTTTATTCCGTGTGTGTGTGTGTGTGTGTGTCTTGTCTATTCTGTCACAGGTTTATATTTATCTACTGGCTGACCTCATGGTTTGTGGCTGTATCCCCATGAAAGGAGGAAATGCAGCCTGTGGTTTCAGCCTGAAGTCTTCAGTTTAGCAGATGTGCTGTTTTATGTTATCAGCTCACAGCAGAAAGTTAACAAGGAATTCAGACAAAGAGCACAGTGGAAATTTCACTTTGATCTTTGTGAGCATTACACATGTTTATGTGACCCGCCTGTACTGAAATAATAGCAATAGTTATCAATGCTACATTAAAGTATGCATGGCAGTGTGTGAAAACAGACAAAAGTAGCATCATTGTGGTGATGACACAATAAAGATAATAAAATCTTTGTGGGAAAATGAGAAAAGTTTGTTTCTCACACTGAAAAGCAGCTGCCTTTCAGTCTCTGTATGGATGTGCTGTAAAAGTGCATCTATGTGTGAATAAAAATAAAAATAATTTCTATTTCTACCCTCTTAGAAATTAGATCTTAACTTGTAACACATGATGGTTTTTATAACCAAACCTTTATGCTTCACTCATATTTATCTGTCTGCTGGACTCTGGAGTTACATTAAGCTGCTCCATCCAGGATGAGTTTGGTCTGTGATGGAGAAATCTGTAAATCAAACCAAAGTTAAATTATTCAAAACTGATAACTGAAAACCAAAATTTGAGAAGGTTTAACAACAAGCTTACATTTCTGTATGTTTTTGTTCAGTTTTTGCACTTTAAGTACAAGAAAGGTACTTCAGTACTTTTTTAAAAACTTTTGTTTCATTTTTTTTCCCCAAAAACAAAGTTCAAATTCAAATTTTTATTTGTCACGTACACAGTCATACACAGTACGATATGTAGTGAAATGCTTGGACAACTGCTCGTGACCTAAAGAAAACAAAAAAGGAAAAGGCTATGAATAAGATAGGAAATAAATATGAAAAATTAAAAAGGGTAAATTTAACTAGGAAGGAATAAAATATAAATTAAGGTTAAAAATGAAATAACTGTACAACACAAATTAGAATGAAGGGTAAATTTAACTGGGAAGAATAAGATAAAATATATAAATTAAAGTTGAAAATAAAATAACTGTACAACAAAATACACAATATAGAACTATATAAGAATGTATGAAGAAATCTAAATATAAATAAATATATACACAATAACAGCAGCTGTACAAGTATTAACCGGAAATGAAGAATATAGTGACCAGTGTTGTGCAAAAACAAAGTCCAGAAAGTCCAGTGTGTGTGTAAGAACTGTATGTGTGGGTCAGTACTGTGTGGTGGTGTGATTGAGAGACCGTATCGCCTGCGGGAAGAAGCTCCTCCTCAGTCTCTCTGTGTTGGTGTTCAGGGAGCGGAATCGCTTTCCTGACCTCAACAGAGAGAACAGTCTGTTGTTGGGATGGCTGAGGTCCTTCACGATCTTCCTGGCCTTGGTCCAGCACCGCCTGCTGTAGATTGAGTGCAGGTCAGGGAGCTCGGAGCGGATGGTGCGCTCAGCTGACCGCACAACCCTCTGTAGAGCTCGTCTGTCCTGCATGGTGCTGTTCCCGAACCAGGTTAAGATGTTTCCCGCCAGGATGCTCTCTATGGTGCACGAGTAAAAGTTCCTGAGCACCTTGGAGGGCAGTTGGAAGTCTCTCAAGCGTCTGAGGTGGTAGAGACGCTGTCGGGCCTTTTTCACCACAGTGTTGATGTGACAGGACCATGACAGGTCCTGCGTGATGTGAACTCCGAGGTATTTGAAGCTGTCCACTCTCTCCACTGGGCACTCGTTGATGACGGGGGTCTGGTAGTTCCTCTCCTGCTTAGTGCTGAAGTCCACTATCAGCTCCTTTGTCTTACTGACGTTTAGAAGGAGGTTGTTCCTCTGGCACCAGTTCTCCAGATTCCTAATCTCCTTCAGGTAGGCCGTCTCGTTGTTATCAGAGATCAGGCCCACCACGACGGTGTCGTCAGCAAACTTAATGATGGTGGTGGAGCTGGTAGTGGCCACACAGTCATATGTGTACAAAGAGTACAGCAGGGGGCTCAGAACACACCCCTGGGGGGCTCCAGTGCTGAGAGTGGTGGAGGCTGAGACATGTCCGCCCATCCTTACTGCCTGTGGTCTGCCAGTTAGGAAGTTGGAGATCCACTGACACATAGATGAGCTGAGTCCCAGATGCTCCAGCTTGGTGGTGAGTGTGGAGGGAATTATGGTGTTAAATGCAGAGCTGTAGTCTATGAAGAGCATTTTAACATAATTCCCCCTTCTAGTGTCCA